TTATTATATTATCGTTATTATATCAAAATAATTGCATTATTTAATTTTGCCTGTATTTAGGATTGTTCTTTAGCTTTTTGTTTAACCTATCCCATATGTTTTGTATGAAAATATTATTTGAGTCTTGTATCCGTAGTGAAATAATGATTGAAATTGAGGTTGATAGCGCAGGTGTTTCGTGAACTTGTGTGGATTTATTTATTTTATTGTGTTTTGTCCTTTTACTATCACTTAGAAGACCTTTGGCTTTTCTTCTGTAATACTGAGGGAGGCGCTCGTCTTCGCATATTGATTTGAGGGATGATATCCAAAGGTTTACATGTTCATTATCGGGTTTATTTAGGGATTTCATATAAGAGACAAATCCAGTTTTTAACGTCATGTTCGCGGAAATAACTGTGGTAACTGTATAGACCGCCTATAGTTTATAATAATGTTTGATATTAATTTAGTAAAAATTTCAATTTGTAACTATTTGACTATTATCTATTCCTTATTTTAAACTATTTCAAATGACATATTTGGTAGCCAATAAATTATATAAATGTTCTCAAGTTAAATCATCCAATAGATTAGTGTTGCTAATAGTCAGAGTCGAAGTCATATTAATAACTTTTAATTAATAATAACAATGATAAAATTATGATATCGTTTGTTCGCAACATTAACGCCCTCAATAAACAATTACTTAATGTTCCTTGAGTTAAATAGGCAAAACCTAATAGCTTATGACTCTCACGAATGATTTTATAATGCTCTTTGAGTTAATGGATAAAACATCCAAGGTTCTTAGACCCTCAATGACGATTATATAATGTTGTAGAAAACACTATACAAAAACATTTAATAGCCTTGGACCCTCGGTGAACGATTATATAATATTTTCCGAGTTAATAGGAAAAACATCTAAAAGTCGATAAATCCTCTATGAACTATTAAATAACGTTTCTGAGTTAATAGGTGAAACATCTAATAGCCCAAGCGAACGATTACATAAAAACATCTAATAGCCTTAAGTCCCTCGGTGAA